GCCGCCCGCGCCCTGCGGCCGCCCGGCTCCCCCGCCGCCTGGCGCCGGCCGCCCGCCGCCGCGGCCCCGCTCCGCCCCGCGCCGGCGAGCGCCCCCTTCCGCGTCGCCCGGCCTCGCCGCCGCGCGCCCTGGCCGCCCCCGGCTGGAGCCGCCCCGGCCGGCTCCGTCCCGCCGCCGCCTGCTCCTCCCGGCCTGCAGCCTCTCCGCGCCATCTCCGGCGACCCGCGCCGCCGGATCCCTCCGCCACCGGCGCCCTTCCGCCGCCAGGGGCCGCCGCCTCCGCCGCGCCTCGCCCCGGGGCGGATCCGGCGAGATCCGCCCGGGAGCACCCTCTCCCCGCCTCCTCCGGCCTTCCTCCGGCCGATCTCTGGCGAGATCCGGCCCTGCCTCGGAATCCGTGCATGAAGGTTGACTTTCCCCTCCCCGAAATCTGCCATTTTCATGCCATGTTCGTCATGCTATGTCTCTGCATCTATAGCTCTGTTTCGTGCGTGTAATATGTCAAATTGTTCGTCTCAACGAGTACATTATTTCATTCCATTACATCATATTAATTTGAGTTCATATTGATGCCTGAATCATTGTTGTAAGAGTGCTTCATGATGTTTTCCGCTGTCTGTTAACAGAACGAGCTCTTTTGTCATTTTTGCCATGATTGATAGGTGCATCCTATGAGGTTGATGTCTACATGTGTTTTAATCTATGCTATGTCTTATTTACAGAGGTGCTTACCATGTATTTTTGTGATCAATGTGGTGACTAGCACAAGCATGCAAACTAGGCATCGTGATGTTGCTAATTTTAGTCCCTGTTCTGCTGTTATTTTGATGCCATATAAACATGTTGCTACAGAGAGATCCATGCATATTTTGAGATACTTCAGTAAGGATGTTTTGAACATGAGGTTATTTTCTATCCATTCATGCCCCTGATTATAATTATGGAGTAGTCTAGCATGCCTTTTTCGTGCTCTATTTTTGCTTCAAAATGTTTCCTGGCAGATTGTTTACATGTTATTCAATTTTGCCAAGGTTGCTATGGTTGATCCTTGCATTCTATGGACTTGTTCTTGACTTGGTTTGTTTCGAAAACATGTCTTCTTGATGATGCTATGCTTATCTTGTCATACAATGACTTGTGGTGAGTGAATCGAGCTTGTTAAGTAGTGTACTTACTGTTGCTGTTTTGCTAGGCTGAATCTGTTATTTCGTGATGCTATATAAACATGTTGCTACTTATCATTCTATGCATAATCTGGAGATGTTCTATAAATATGTTTTGTTCTACATGTTATGCCCTAACCATACATGCCCATGGTTGCATTTATAGCTTGCTGTAGCTTGTTCATATCTTGCTCTAAAGTTGCTTCATAATGTTGTTGTCAGCTTATTAACATTAAGTTCAGTTGATTCCATGATTGTTCCTAGTGATCCATGCACCCTATGAACTTGCTATTGCCATGCTTAGCTTCACAAACAGGTCTTCTTACTGTTGGTTGCCTTGCCATGCCATATATTGCTCTGTAGTGAGTTGCACAAGCTCATCTACATGCCTTCATAATTCTGTTTCTGCCATGTTTGAATCTGTAATATAACTTGCTATGTTTACGTGGGTGCCATCATATTTTCTGATACTTTTTGGCTTATGGTCAGTAAGGGACTTTTGATCTATGCATTTAGTAGTTTCATGCCATGCCTTTGTTTGCCATTATAAGTTCCTGTAACATGTTGTTTGATAGCTCTAAACATTGCATCGTGATGTTATTTTCTGCAAAGTCCGAAATTGTTATTACTTGCAATCTTACCATGTGTGTTTGAGCATGTTCTAGTGATTTCTGGAGATAGCTCAGTGTTCATGTTTTGTTTGCTTTACCTGTACATCATGCCCATGTCTTTTGTTTTCATGTTGAGGCACTGTAGCTTGTTGTTTTGATGCTTGCAATATGCCTAGTTGCTGTTTTGGATAGATTGTTGCTATAACTTGTATAGATTGTGTGTGTTGAACCGTTGCTCCGTTTTGAGTGTGCTCTATATGAAACTTGCTTGATTTTGCATGTAGTTTCATATTATCATGTTGCATCCATGTTTTGAGGTGTTTGCTTGATGTTTGGGTGCATTTTGCATCAATGTCATGTTTAACTTGTTTTGCTCATATCTTCTAGGCCGTAGCTCCGAACTAAATGATCTTTATATGTAACTTGACTAGAATCTCGTGTAGATCATCTTTGTGCATCTTAACTCGCTGTTTAACAACTTGAACATAAGGTTTATTCAGATTTGGACTAACTTCGAAATTTGCATATGAGGACTTACCGGAATTGTTATGTGGTGTTCCCGGCCTCATTTAAACTTGCCTTGATGTGTTGCTCTTGTTTGCATCATCTCTTGCCATGAGTAGATCCATATATCTTTGTCATGCATCATGCTTGTTGTGCATCATGTCTTGTCTATGAGTGGTGTGTTTACTATGTCGTGTGCTTCTTTTCGATAGTTCCTGTTTCGTTCCGATCGTGAGGATTCGTTCGTCTACGCTTGGTTCGACTTCATCCGTTCGTCTTGTTCATGGACTCGTTCTTCTTCCTTGCGGAATTTCAGGCAAGATGACCGCTACCCTGGATCTCACTACTATCATTGCTATGCTAGTTGCTTCGTTCTATCGCTTTGCTGCGTTACCTATCTTTTGCTCATCAAGCCTCCCATATTGCCATGAACCTCTAAGCTTTGGCACCTTTCCTATGCAAACCGTTGCTTGGCTATGTTA